GGGAGAAGAGACCCCAGGGGCCAGGCGCAGACAGTGGCGGGGGGGGAGGGAGCCCCAGCGAGGGGAGAGGAGACCCCAGGGGCCGGGCGCAGACAGTGGCGGGGGGGGAGCCCCAGCAAGGGGAGAGGAGACCCCAGGGGCCGGGCGCAGACAGTGGCGGGGGGGAGCCCCAGCGAGGGGAGAGCCCAGGGACCAGCACAGTTGCGGAGGGTGTTGGGAGTCCGGCCTCGTCTCGCTCGGCCTCACCTTCTCCAGCTTCCCCAGGAAAAGCTCCTTGGCATAGGCACTGCGGAGACCGCCCGTACGTAGCTGCCTGGCCCCGGCGGGGAACGCGGCGCGCGCCGCCCGCAACAGAAGGCTGAGGCCGCTCATGTCCGACCGGGTCACTGTGCCACTGAGCAGTGCCAGAAAGCTGCACGGCTCCACCCTCCCCCTCGGAAAGCCGTCAGGGGCGCGCGCTGATGACGCATCTGGTGGGTCACGTGACACAAATCCCTCTCAACCCCCTACTCCCGCAGATGGGCCTGAGGCGGGCTCCATGAGCCCCGCCCCTCACACGCCAATCCCTCCGCGCGGCCAGTTACACCATTCAGGCCACGCCCCCCACAGGACACTGGCCTGCGGTTCTGACCGTCAGTCCAGAGCATGGGCCGTCCGCGTTCACACGCGCCCCAGGGCGGGAGCTAGCGGGGGACAGGCTTCTGAGGGGCGCGTAGGCAACTTGCTAGGGGAAGTTCCTGGCCCTGCTCGCTCCAGGAAAAAACTGTCCACAGGAAAATACAAACCCTGAAAAGAGTGAAACAAAAAAACCCTCAACACGTGCATTGTTAAAAAACTTATTGTTTCAAACCCCTCTCATGAGTTTTAAGGGGGAAGCTGATATTGTACACTTGCAGCTGGCTGTACTGAGTGATTGCACATAGTGGTGAGTTAAGAAACTTTCTTCCTAAGCTTTATGCATTGAGACAAGAGGTTATATCCCTAATCAAATAATAAAAATCCTTCTGAGCATGGCTATTACAGCCTTACTGTTGATCCTATAATTGCACTACTGGGCATATAATGCAGCAAATATACTTAGTGCATACCTTGCACTATGGTTCAGGAAAGCACACGCTGGAGCTCACCATGAGAGGAAATTTTCCCTTGAATGGCTTGTTATATAATCATTGACTTTTTTTTTGTACTTTTGTCAGACTGCAGTCTATGTTTCAATGCTGCACAGCAAGCTGTACACCCACCATCCAATCTATTGCGCCTATGGTTCTTGGTAATCATCACTTTCTGATACACTATCAACACAATCCAGGCTTTTTCTCCTCTCCCCAGTCCTCTCAACAGCAACATTTCAATATTTGTCTATACTATAATAATTTTATGTGATCATGCTTTTTCAGTTCATACACAGCAGGGCTTCTAGTACTGTTACATTTTTAGTTCACACAGGATATGTTGCTATTAGTGAAGCAGCTTAATAGTTATTATCAGGGCAAGGTTGCCATGAATTTTGATAAGACAAGATGAGACCAAAGAACATTTTATCAGGGGGCAAGAAAGGGGCAGAGAGGATAGGTGTAGGACCTGACCCCAATGTTAACAAATTATGTAATGGTTGCAAGTGATTCATACATATCACATATTATTCCAATGAAAAATGTTTTATGCTGGCATATTTTAGAACACACAGTGGGAGGTTTGAAGAGAGAGACAACACTTAAGAACAAAATTTCTATTTTAATTTTTTTATACTACTTTAATTAATCCTTGTAAAAAGAAGTAAATGCTTCCCCCCTGTAATTTAAAATCATGATTTGACCTACACTGAGATGTTTTTCACTTGCTCAGTTTCTTGTCCCCTGACCACACTCACCAGATACATGTCACAAGGGTTAAACAGTTGCTTTCTCAATATCTGTACAAGCTATCACTGGCAGTCTCTGAACTTTGGTAGATAATACTGTGCAGAAGGGGCCATCACTATAGGATAATGCTGACATTGGTCGGTATGAACTTTGTTTTCTATTAAGATTTCCTCTAACTATCATCATCCTCTGCCCTTTCTGACCAGCAGTTTCTGAAGGATCGGTAGAAGGTGAGGGAGTACATGGCAGATACAGCTGGACTGCCTGGTGCCCTGCAACAGGTGTAGTCATTTACACAAGGCAAAACAAGTGCCAAGTAGATATAAAACACTACTCTGCTGATGCGGTAGTGTGTTACATCCACTTTGTTATGGTGTAAATTGCTATATTAAGAGCAGGGCAATGAAGATCCTGGCCCAGCATTTCTCCCTTTCCTATGTCTCCCACTAAGCTAAATTCTGCTTTGTTTATTTCCCATTCAGATGCTAGGGAGGAACCAGCAAGAAACATACAGATTAGTAAAATAGAAATTTGGAATCTGGTTAGGAATAAAACAAGTGTTCCTTGAGTAGAGAAACCAGTACTCACAGGTGTGTGTGTGTGTGAGAGAGAAAAGTTCTTTAACCAATGCACTTATTCTCTCTGAATACTAAATGCATGTACAAACAAACCTTCCTTACATTTCAAATATTCTTTACCTTCCTTACATTTCAAATAGTCTTTTCAAGTATCCTTAATCACATTTTCTTTTTTCTAACTCTTTTTTCCGCGGTGAGCTATACCTATTTCTCTCTCCTTTTTAAGATTCACTTTAACATGGCCCAGTTTTATTCAACTATCCTTGTGTTTTGTTTTGTAGATTAAAGACTTTAAAATATTAGGTTACCAAAGCAGCATTGAACAGTTAAGCGATTAATAAGTCATAAAATATCCTAACTGATTTTATTTACCTGGGAAGTATTGTAGAGTATTTATGAAAAAATAAAAAAAATGTAAACCCTGTAGTCCAGATAAATGGACAAAAAATGTGGATGAAAATTCCTACAGTACTGATATAATCTCAATTTCACCTCTGGGCTGATGACACCAAAAATATACATCTCCACTTTGGAACGATCCTACCTTTATTTTGTTCCATATCTGCAACTCTGTCTGATGTTTTTCTGGATGTGCAGCCCCACTTGAAAATGGAATCACAATAGCTTATGTGCTCCAGCCCTGCCTTCCTCACAGCTCTCAATAATCACACCATCCTTAAGGTCACTCTGGCCCATAACCTTGATGTCATATTGCACTGCTTTTCAGGAAGAAAGATAAAACTCTCTTTTTTTTTCTTAAGTAGCCTCTCCTTCCCTTATAATAATTATAAAGGAGAAAAAGTGATATGACAGATGGTAGGAAAGTTATGCACCTAAAATCCATGACTATTACCCTGAGGGCATGACATGATACACTAATTCTAACATTTACTATTAAACACCCATCAGCTTACAAAATTAAACTGTATGAAAGGTAAGAGCAGTAACTAGTTTTTCCATTTTTGCTCCTGGTGACATGCTGTAGAAGTAATGTATCTGAATCACTGATGCTAGCACTATCACTATATAATATGTTTGTACAGGCATTTAAAACCATTGTACTGTGGCTATCAACTGAAGTACCTGCAAAATGAGAGACACTCCAACAAGCAGGTTCCTCACAATTAAAGAAGAGCTGTATAGTCACCACCCTCCTAGTGAAATAGTGTTCCCTAATATCCGAGCCTGGACTCGGTGACTGCATTAGTCACCAACAGGGGAGTGTGGCAGGAGAGGACACAGAACATGTCTACAAATAACTTTTTCTGGACTGTTGAGGTGGGGGGGGAGAGGCCAGATTCCATCTGGCGCTTTAGGACTGAGTATCAGAGGAGTAGCCGTGTTAGTCTGAATCTGTAAAAAGCAACAGAGGGTCCTGTGGCACCTTTGAGACTAACAGAAGTATTGGCACCTTACGATATCGTGGTTAAGATCCTC